CAGGTCAGGTATGGAGCTCTTCTCCGACCGGGTGAGGGTCCTCACCATCTGTTTTGCGAAGCCCACAAGATCCGGCTCGTCGGATGTCAGATCTGCATCAAAAGTAGTACTCTGTGAGACAGAGGCAGCATAGTTGGCATTCATCCGTTGTCGGCTTCTGACTGACCCCCAGAGGAGGGATCAACCTTAGTCTTGACTCTCATAAAGTCAAGTGGCCAAGGTATTCCAATCCTTCCCTTACCTTGTGTATCCGAATGGGGCTTAGGCGTTTGCTCCTCCCCGGTTGTTGCTGCACCGTCTGCAACATTAGGTGGCTCGCCACCCTTTGATGCCGTAGAGACATCCGGTGCTTTCTGTTGCGAGCGTTCCGAGCTTTCGCTCAGAATTTTCATAACAGAAGGAGATTTGCCTCCGGTCGTTGGACGATCGGATTTGGCAGCAGAATTTGTCCGGGGAGGGGGATCCTTCCTGGCGGCTTTCGCAGCCAGAGTTTTCTCCAGATCACCTCCTTTCCTTTTGAGAAGCTTGGAGAAGGATCGTGGAATTTTCTTTGCAGAGTCCTGAGAAATGAACAAGGGTAAGTATACCCAACCGGCAAATTGCCTTAGTAAAAAAAAAAAAGTCAGGCGGTCTTACCCCGCCTTTCTTGGACTCCTTTGCATCGACGGCTGCTTTCTTGGCAAGAGCAGCCTCTTTGCGCAGCAGCGCCGCCGACTTAGCCGGTGTCTTAGCCGGATCGATCACCTTCAAGGCGTCGGCTACATGAACAAAATTCAAGGTTAGAAGAAATTATGACAAGTTTGCAATAAAAATAAAAATAAAAACATTCCGGATGTAAGGTATTCTACCCTTGGGAAACATGGTACTCAGCCCGCAGGCGGACAAGAAGCACTCGTCCTTGAAGAAGTCCGGATGGGGTATCCAGTTCTTGGGAACTATAATGTGAGTCACATCCCCCATAGGCTCGGTTGTTGTTTCAAAAAATCCCGGCTCTATTATTTGCTCCCGGGCCTTAGTAGATAGCGCCGGGAGAGGGCACTTCCTGCCTAGAAGAGCCGGCTCAGTGTTGTACTGGCGCAGTGTCCGGTTATGTCTCAAATTTGGGGAAGAAATCAAGTAAAACTTGTCCTTCCGCCCGGACCATTTGGACACTTTGTCCAAAGTCATCAAATATTGGGGCAAGGTAGGTATAGTATACCATGCCCCATGGCCGCCTGGGGCCTTGCTCAAATAATGCATATGAGCGAAGGCAGAAAAGCTTGGATTTATATTTTGGAACTCGCAGACGGCGATGTAGCTTAGAATGTTCACCCACGAATTGGGGGTGAGCTGCCAAATTCCTACATCGTACCCCTTTAGGATTTTCCTAATCCCGGGGTGGAGGGGGAACCGGAGTTCGGCTTCGATGATCGCCTCGTAGAAGACGAAGTAATGGTCTGTATTATCATATCATCGTTCCAGGCCATTACAGCGTCAGCCGGAGGAACGATGATGTCCTAGCTCCTTCCAATGGGGTGCTTTTCTTTGAAGGCCCTAAAGCCGCTCTTGAGAAGGGAAATGTCACCCGGAAGCATCCGGGTCCGTTTGGGGTTGGGGTTGTCAGCGACCTTAGGCGGCTGCTGATAGTCAGCTGCAAAATTATCTTGGCCAGAGCCGGAAGATTCGGCCCTTGACCTTTCGCCGGCCTCAGCATCGCTGGCTTCCTTAGAGAAGGCGGCTCCCTCGCCATCTACCTCTCGTGCCCCCGAGCTCCCGGAAGTAGAGGGAGCCTCTTCATCAGAACCACTCTCCTCCAACTCCCTCTGTTCCCCGTCGGGAACAATCTTATCGGCTGGCACTTCTATAGTGCGCCGGCTCCTAGACCGTCTGTTTCGTTCTGGCCATTGTGTCCTGCACAGACACAAAGAGGGAGGAATTCGGAGATGAGCATTTCGGTTCCGACAGTCCAGAAAAGGCACCCCTTGTTCTAGACTCAGCCGTTCCGGGGGACCGGCTGAGTGTCCTAGGCAGTGCCGAGTGAGTGGATTGAGAACTCATTTATATTTTCTATAAAACGAGGTATACGGGCGGAGAAAAAATTGTATACAAGTTGAAAAGGAGAAAAGCTAAAATGGTACAGGCTGTTACCTTACTTTAACTCTGATTAATCTGAAAACCGCTACAGCCGGTAAACTGGGTGTTGAACTTCTAGCACACGGAAACTTGAAACTGCTTTGATGCAGACGGAGGCAGAGAATTTCTCTCTAGAAGCTCTCTCTTTCTTACTCTAAAAAGTCAAAATGAGCGTAAGATGAGAGAAAGGGGGGGGGGGGGTAAACTTCTATTTATAGAAGGTAAAAGCGGGGGGAAACTTTGATTTGAAATTCAAATTTTACTACCCGTTACTGTTCACCTTAGAAAGGTGGACACGTGTCACAGGCCTCACGTGATACGCACGTGACCCCTGTGAGGGGCAAATGTTTAGGGTAAAAATACCCTAGACACGTGGACCAATGAGAGGAGGCCTCATGTCGAGTTCAGGATGGCCCACCTGGCCTAATATCCTCTTGACACATGGCCCCCTTGGATAAACCTTTGAAATGGCGGCCTTCAAGGGCCCAAATCCCAAGAAGCGCCGTAAAACGGCGCAGCCCACTAAAATCTAGGTCAAGTGACCTAGATGGGGGAACATTCTCTAATGATCCTATAAATAGGGAGATATTTTCCCATTTTGGGGACACGTTCAATCATTTATTACATCTACATTCTCTCACATCAGAGAAACACCTGAGCTTGGAATCCAAGCATATCCCCACTTAAATTTACGTACTCTTTATTCCCTTTCAAGTTACTAACTTGATCGTCGGAGGCGGAGCTCCTACCACCCGGAGTCTCCGTTGTTTTGCAAGTACAACTCAGCCGGACCAGACTTCGTGACGTAACTCTCCCAAGGGACAAAAACACCCAAAACAATTACGATGATGATTTTTATTATGTTGCTTGATATTATATTTATTATTATTATTATTGCTTGATCACCCCTTTTATGCATGTTTAAAGGGAATTTTTACTTGTAACCTGCTTAATAAGATAATTAATAATATGGTTTAGGATAATATGGTTATAATTCAAGTGATCGCCAATAATAGACTTGTTGTGCATTAATATTCAACCAACGTAGACTAAACGGGTTTAGGGTTAATCTAATGATTGCATGTTAGTAAAAAAGCGCACATGAATACGAGAAAAATAAAGTAGAGGCCTATTATTAGGGAAAGTTTAATCTCTTTTAGGTTGGATTTGTACCTTCATCCCCGAACTTCTAGTCATAGTTCCAGACATATTGGAGTTAACAATCTCCTGGATTGTTAAGGGGTGTAACCTTCACCCTGTGAACAGTTTACAAGTTCCTAAAACTTGTTGGCAACTCCTTTACTCTAGCTTCCTTCACTTTGGACTCCACCATGCTTAAGTGTATGATCACAGTGGGGCTCTAGTGTGGGATGCTTGAAATATTCCCTACAAAGGTTTTTTTTCACCATCCACCAACCATGGTTCACAAACTAATGGACCCATTAACGTCAATGTATACACTATACCATTCAAAAAGGAGGGCATCATAACAATTTCCGTAGGCGTCGCTTGAAGTTCGCCTGCATTAAAGCATGTTGCGAATGTGCTTGACACTCATAGGAAGTGGGAATCGACATATACAATTAGGGACAACGATTAGGGAAAAATAAAGTAGAGAGTCGCCAACATGTTTTTAATTAAGGAACTTGTAAATCGTCCACGGATTACAAAAGGAACCACGAACAAGGAACAACAAAAGGCAACAACGATTGATCCGTGAAGGTTACACCCCATTCATAATCCATGAGACTACTAACTCCATATGGTTCGGAACCACCAAAGGAGGATCGTAGATGATCATACGAATTGAATCATGGAGCCACATTCGTCTGTATTGACCTCTACTTAATTCTTATAGTGAAAAGCAATTCCTGCGACCTAAAAGGCATACTAACAAAAAATTCAATTCACTCCAAACTATTATCATGCTAAATTTGTTGAACATTAGTGCACCCATAATTCTAAAATATTTTTTATCACTTAATTTAACAACAAGGTTAAAAAGGAACCTAAACCTGTTGTCCAAATTATCTTATTAGCCGTGATTTTCAATAACATATTCCCTTTAACATGTAATATGGTGATCAATAAATATAATAAAATCAATATTAATATTGGAAGCAATTCAACAATAAATCCAACAATTAATATATGATAAACATAATAAAAATCGCTAGAAAAATAATAGGAACAAAAGGAACATGATTCCTTACTTTGATTTTGCTTGCTTGCAACTATAAAATAATAAACGCGTAATTAATTTAAAGGAAATTAATAAACAACAAAATTTCAAGGAAATTAATAAACCACAATTGAAATTAAATTAAATTAAAATTAGTTAGGGGCCAAACCCTTAAACAATTATACCTTTCAGGCGTTGGCTTAAGTATAGAACTAAAATATACTACTAGAATTTCTATGCTTTTTAGACGCTTTTAAGGCTTATTTTCGACACAAAAAAGCGTCAAAAATATTTTTCTCGACGCTTATAAAAAGCGTCGCAAATAAGTGAGTCGAGAAATTTGTTGGACGCCAAAAAGTGTCGCAATTCTCGCCGCTTTTTATTGTCCAAATTTCTATACAAATTGTCAAAACATGTGTTAGATCGCGCACTTTCTTAGATTTGGCAACGCCTTTTCTTGTCTATAATCACATAATTGCGACGCTTTTTTGTGACATTAGTTTTATATATGTTATATGTCCTATATTTTATTAACGCTTTTTAATGTCTATATTTTATAACTTCGCGACGCTGTTTCTAGTCCAAATTATGTATAAAATATCCAATGTGTAGATTATTTTTTTCAGCAAAAATAAAATTTAATTTATTAACTAAAAATAAATATAACTAGCAAAAATTTCCATGTAAGAGTTAAAAAAATCAAAAGACACTTTTACTCTAATTAAATTTTATTCATAATCCAAGAAGAGTACAACTTATTATATTCTGACACTATTAATGTAATCAAGCTAGAATGATAAAAGAAAAGTACAAATACATTTTATGTATAATAATCCATATTATTCTCTTAAACAACTGACATTAAATAAAAATGTTTGATTGTAATTCTCCACCTTTATCGAAAAAATTGCTGCTTCTCACAATCGAATTTAATTTGGAGCTACTATGTCTTCATCGAACCACTTGATTAATAACTTTGACGTACGTAGTCTGGGACATAGAATAATCACAACAATATCCTTCACCAATAACAAGCATGTCAAAGCTAGAAGTTAAAATTTTGCCATATATTTTTGTTAGTCGAGTAAAACATTGTATTAGTTAGTGGATTATAGTCCCAACAGAACAGCAATCATATATTATATACTACACTAACAAAATCAGAGCTTTAAAGATAGTTAATGGATTGCAATCCTAGCTGAAAACAATTTTACCCTTATGTAGTAGTGGATCTAATGTAAGGTTATATACACAGTAGAGTTTGAGATCCAAAAAAATTTATATCAATATCTAGCATTATATAAAGTGTCCAAGTTAGTCACAGAATTTTTAAGCTTTCACCTACTAGTTTTAATTTTAAATAAAGAGTAGTAGCTTAAGATGCTCCCATATGACTTACCACACAAAAAATAAACAAAATTTTAAACATTAGCCTAAAATAAAGATAATCTAAAATGACATTGACTAGATACAATCAGACATATAAAGCAAAACAAACAAAAAAAAAAAAAAAAAAAAAAAAAACCCAAAGATCAGTATATATAGTAAAAAATGCTTAAGAAGCAACATGCTGATTTAAATTTTAAGTAAAGTATACATTTGACATAACCAGGCCAGTAACAAATCAAATCCTTTCTAACTCTAAAGCAAGCACTAGAACCTTGATCAAAGAAGCATTGCTCATATGCTTTACCTAGAGCTTAATGTGGCACCCTATGCGGTAATGAAGAAGATAAAGAGCAATGCAAATGCATAGAATCAGGAGCATAAAGATTAAAGAGCTCACCCACATCTTGTAGTAACACAGTCAATAACACTAGCATAAAATTTTCAAATTTAAAAAAATTTCTCAGTAATGACAACATTTCTAAGATAACCACAAGAATAGATTTATAAGAGTGAGACATCAAACAATAAAATAGCGAAATATTAAGATTAATGCACCTAGAATCACGGCAGGAGTTAATCCAGAAATGCAAGGCAGCAAGAATGATCCTTTTCATCAGTACATTTCGTAAATAGCCTTACGTTTCAACATTATTCACGGGAACCTGAAACATAAAATAATGTGCAACTGAGAAAAAATAAGAAGTCTAGAAATAGGTATTATTAGAAGCTAACAAAGGTTTTTCACTCAAATAACAAGTCCAAATGGGTCACATTAGAGCAGTTCTCATGTTAATAATGGGCAGGAAAATTAACAAGCAAGAAAATTAAGTAATGACACAGATAAAAGTAAGCACAAGTAAATATGTAAGTATACTTTTCAAAAGAACTTTAGCAATGTATCTTAGTGTACAAATTTATAAGAAAATTATTGTATGAAGGGAACTCTTAAGTTGCAATATGGTCCTTCACCCTTCATGTATCTCAAGACTCGAGCTAGGATAAAAAGGCTACTTCCATTTAAGTTTTACACACTCCATTTAATTTCTAAACTTTAGAGGATAAAAAAGACTACTTTGCCTCATTATCACCAGGAATCTCAATGATTCTCTGAATAGTAAACTGGGACTGGCAACATTGTTGTACCAGCGTTGTAGTCAAGTCATCTTGCCAAAGAAAAGAAACAACTAATTCATCGAAGCACATCAGAGCAACTCCATCAATTAAAAAATTATAGACAAATTGTATAGAGTGTTTAGTGTGGATATAATGCTAAGAGGCATGAGAACTGTCAAGAGCATGACAAGATAAATCAATCAAATTTCCACAGAGGGACTGCAATAATGTCAACAACATGACCTGACAAGTCAATCATCGCATAGAGTATTAAAATGCACAAGAAATAGAATATGGTATAAGGGGTATAAGAATGATAAAAAATCAAATTACACCAGAGTATAGTAAATAGTTAAGAGCATCAAAAGATGGATCCCATCTATACACTCCTCAATATCATAGACTGTCTAATAACTAGCACAACATCAAACCAATAACAAACATCTAGATTATATCCGCAGATAGAGAATACAATTCCAGTAAAGTTAGTTCCATTCAAAAACCGAGCATCAACAATGTAACCTTTAAAGACTTGAAAAGATAATACATGTTATAGCTCAAACAAAGATGTGAGAGATATTTAGAGTTCTAGCGCAAGTCCTTTTATAACAAATATGATCCTGAAAAGTAAACGATGAATGTAATAAAGAAAAAAATACTCCCTCCGTCCCAAATTACTCGCAACGGTTTAACTTTTTACACTATTCACACATCTCCCTTTGACCATCTTTTTTAATTAGTATATGAAAATCAATGTAATCATGTAAGATGTTATTGGGTCTATTTTAAGGTATAGTTTCTTAATATAAACTTTTTATAACTTATATAAATATATAATAAAAGATATCAACGGTCAAACATGTGCATCGGTAACCGTGTCCAGCCAAAATGTTGCAAGTAAATTGGGACAGAGGGAGAACATATTAGTAATTGCTTTTAAACTATTTGGTGCCATTAAATAATGGGCATTCACTGTTGTCGACTATTTCATCACTTAATTCGTTTACTTTTACCTCTAAAAAGTTGAAATATTCATCAATTAAACTACATCAAAGAAAAAAATTACCCATTAGAAAAGGCTAAAAAGTGGTATCAGATTAAATATACAACTTATACAACTTGATCCATAATTTACCGTTTAGATATCTTTTTTCACTCAGTACCAAAACCTCACTAATAAAAGAATTCTTATATCCATAGTGAAAATAATTTTTTTTTTATGAGACATCTATATTAAGCCAATCTAATCCATAACTAAATAATCTACTTCACCAAGTTACACTAGAAGTACAATTATAGCACATATCCTCCCCTTCCTCACTGCGCACTACATTCCTCAATAGTAACCTTTCTCACTTTCTCTCTATCAATTATTGAATGCTGAGATGCATGCAATTTCCTTGTTTTATTCAACTATAATACCCCTTGTTCCTTGAATCCTTGTTCATCACGTATACATAGCAATCAAGAAAAACGATACTTTAAACATAATCCGCTAACTTAGTTTAAACAACTTTTGAACAAAATTTGCCATTTGTTTCAAAACCATCCACTAATCTCTCATGATTCAAAAACTTAAAGTCCTTTATCATTGCCGATTGATTTCAAATTCTCCTCCTTGGAAAAAATTAATGCAAAATCATATAAATATGTAGACTATTTGAATTTAGAGAACATAAAAATATGTAAAATAAGAGTTTTACCTAAAAACTGCAAAATAGAACCTCAAAAAAGTTTAACACAATCAAAATAAAGTGTTGCTTTGTTCAAACATAAAATAAAAGAAGATTAGTTTTCCAGAATATTAATTGAACAGTAGCAAAAAATCGAACATAATAAATATACATAACAAAACCCTAAAATATCTGTTTTTCATGAATCTAACCCATTTCAGACCATAATTTCTTAAAATTATTGTGTAAAAAACTCTACAAACAATCTACAAGACTCAATTCAAAGAAAACTGAAGACAACAGGAAAGGAAGTACCTCAATTCTATGGGCAAAAAGAAGACGAAATTAAACACCATTGAAAGCTTACAAGTAGAGAAAATTAAGCAAGCAAAATTATTTATGAGCAGTGCAAGGGAACGAATTGAAGACCTGAAATTAAAATCCATGATTTTCTGAATCACTTTGAAGAATTTAGTACGATGGAGGAGAGATAAATAGTTAGGGTTAAGATGTGAGAAGTGAAAGGGTTTTCAAGTTTTGTTTATGTGGGCGGTTTTATGTTTTCCAAAATTTTGAAACTGTGGAATGAGCAAATTGCACTCACGAGCCCTGCACGTGTTGTTCTCGACTCTTATTTATGTCGAAAATAAATGTCGGCGTCGAGAAGACACGCATATTGTATTTATCACCTAACGCTGATGCCTAAGCGTCGAGAAGACACTCGTTTTGTAGTAGTGCAGGTAAAGTACAAACTCCTTGGAGTGCTTAAGGGAAGTATTGTGGAAGAATAAGGTAGGCTAATGTTTAGGCAAGAGCATAGAAGAGAGAAGAGAGAATGATTTTCTGCCATGAACCGAGGAAATGAGCAGGGTGTTCCACGAAACCCTAAAAGTGATAAGCGCTATGGAAAACCCCTAGATGAGCACCGCATCACGGTGTGTGTACCGTGACACGCAAGTGGCCACTGTGACTCGGTATTGGGCACCGTGACACGGTGTACAGTTTTGCCTAAAAAAAGTCTGGATTCATTTTAAACCTAATTTCTAATAATTAAGCACGGTGATTTTAGGTGTCGTTTTAGAGTTCCGGGCTTATTATTTATTAATCGAGCTCAATTAAAAAATAATACGAAATGAACTAAAAAGGGTTTGGGCTAAACTATGAATTGGACTTTTGCAGTTGTAGACATGCCTGATGTTTGGATTGTCTGCGGGAAACTTTTCTACAAGAGTTCTCATGATATGTCGAGGTGGCACCTATGCATGAGTCATGTCTCACACTAACTATGATAGGAATGGCGTCCTTCAAACAAGCTAAGTGTATTATTCCGATAGAGGGTTTGAAATTATTAGAAAGCTAATTATTCTGTGAGGTCAAGTGATCGGAATGCCTAGCTAGAGGCCGCTTCCGACAAGTAATACTAATGTATAATTAATATTACAACTTAATCTTGATCTGACTAAACCCTTCGGGTCACAGCCAAGCAAATAAACGATCCGTAATGACGAATTAATCCGAAAGGAATTAATGAGTCACTCGAGTATTATGAGCATAGACGTCAGATATCGACCTAGGAATGTCGGGACCGAGCGTCGCAAGTTGAGTCGGATAAATAACACGACAAGACGGTGAAAATAAAGAAATTAACAAGTTATAAATACCCCTAGCATCATAATGCCCTGAGAAAACTAAGTGCTAGGGGCATGGCTGCTATCATGTGCGCCGCACCAACCTGAGGCTACTAGTAGCGCTGGCTAGTGTGGGGTGTCGCATGCTTGCATGCGCATGCTAGCACGCTAGCAATGCTAACAACACCAGCCGCACATAAGTGCACCAACAACCCCCATTGCTTGCGAGGCTTGCTGCGCGCATGTAATATTGAGTACAACTTGCCATTCCAAAATAACACTTACGGAACTAATGTGCATAGTGGTGGGCTATGCCAAAGCTAGGCATCACTATCTACCTAGGAACTTAAGTATGTTGATGGGTTTGACAAAGCAAGACATCACATACACGTTAAAGTATGTTGATGGGTTTGCCAAAGCAAGACGACACATACACGTTGATTTTAGTTAGACTCAACGATATCAGTAAGGAGTCTTTAGATATCATGGAAAAAGGGATAAATTGTCAAAAGAGCATTAGATGCGATAATTTATCAAACCAAGAATGGCTTGGATCTATTAGCAAAAAGTTGATTACCTTAGAATAATAAGTTTTAAGATAAGACAAAGCATGCTTTATCACTCATTGATTCTTTGGATCTTGGAATCACCTCATTTCTAACCTAATACGGAAAAACTATGTGTGAATAAGACGTTGAATAAGTTTGAAATTAGCATGAATGCTTTAAAATTCAATCTTATTTAGTATTATGAATAGTTTTTTCATTTCAAATTCTTTCAATTGTAGAATTATGTCTTCAAACAACTAATTTTCATTACGCTTATTTCTCGACAAGGAGAAATTAAGTGGGCCAAATTTTCTTGATTGGAAAAGATATTTACACATTGTTCTCATGCAAGAGAAAAAGGACTATGTCCTTGATGAGGAAATGCCCGAGGCTCCTAATGAGGAAAGGACTCAAGATTCCCTAAACCAATGGCAAACTGCCAATCAGGATGTCAAGTGCATCATGTTGGTCACTATGTGTCCCGACCTTCAGAAGACTTTCTTTGAGAATGAGATAACTTTTGAGACCATTTTTGAACTTCAGAATATGTTCCAAGAGAAGGCTAAACTGAAAGGTTCAAAACCTACAAGCAGATCCTTGATAGAAACCTCGAGAAAGGAGAGTTGGTCAACCCACATGTGCTGAAAATGATTGGTTTATTTGAGAACATAGAAAGGCTTGATGCGGGGTATTCGACCGAGATGGCAATTGACATTATTCTCCATTCGCTAAACAAAGGCTATGATCAGTTCAAGATGAACTATAATATGCATAGCATGGAGAAAACCCTCACCGAGCTTCATGGAATGTTGAGGCAAGTCGAGCAAACGCTCAAGGATGAGGGAAAGCATGACATGCTTATGGTCAAGAAGGGCAAGCCCTTCAAGCGCTCAGGCAAGAAGAAGAAAGGCTTTTAAGGGGAAGGTTAAGAAGACTTTTCCGCCTAATCCAAAAGCTACCAAATACAAGAAGGAGAAAAATGTAGCCTCTTCTAAATCTGATTCCGAATGTTTCTAGTGCAAGAAGAAGGAACACTGGAAGAGAGATTGCCTCCAATTCAAGAAAGATAAGAAGAACGAAACTGTTGCTTTTGAATCATGTATTTTTTTTATAGACTTAAAACTCACTAGAAAAACATCATGGGTATTAGATACCGGATGTACCTTACACCTTTATTCTCATGCTTAGGGACTAAGGATTGATAGGAAGCTAGAGAAGGGAGAAATTAAACTCCGGGTGGGCAATAGAACTAAGATATCGACCGTATCCGTTAGAACTCTCAGTTTGTCTTTGCCCTTAGGGCTTATGTTAGAACTTGAAATTTCTCTCATGTTCCTAAAGTTACCAAAAACATTATTTATATTTCAGCGTTGGACGGCAAAGGATTTGATTTTTCGAGTAAAAGACAATGCATGTTCATTTTACTTCGGCAATATTTTATATGGTATAGCATATTCAAAAAAATGGTTTGTGTGAGCTCTATCAAGACAAACACGTATATAGTGTTGAAAATACCGCAAAGAAACCTAAGACCGTGTAGTCAAATTGGACATACTTGTGGCATTGTCGTCTTGGCCACATTAACATCAAACACATCAAGAAACTTCTAGAGGAAGGTATTCTTGACTAATTCGATTTGCAATCATTAAAAAATTGCAAAGGATGTCTATTAGCCAAGATGATAAAGCAGCCATTCTCCAAGTTGGGGAAAAGGCAGGTGACTTATTGGGCCTAATACACACCGATGTATGTTGTCCAATGAGCACAACTGCAAGGAACATTTATCGATATTTTATCACCTTCACGGACGACCATAATAGTTATGGATATGTTTACCTTATGTCGAATAAATCTGAATTGTTTGAAAAAAAACAAAAAAATTTCAGAGTGAAGTTAAAAATCACCTTGGTAAGAAAATAAAAGCCCTTTGATCGGATCGAGGTGATGAATATACTTGAGCTATGATTCGATGACCATCTAAAAGAACATGGTATACTTTCAGAATTGACACCTCCAGGAACTCCACAACGGAACGGAGTATTCGAAAAGAGAAATTGAACCTTTTTAGTATGGTATGTACGATCTACAATGGGTATTAGTGTTCATCATATCTCTTTCTCTTGACACGCGCTTATAATCGCGACACTAACATTAAACCGCGCTCCGTCAAAAGCTGTAGAAAAGACTCCATATGAATTATGGACGAATAAACCTCCTAGGTTGTCTTTTCTCAAGATTTGGGGTTACGAAGCATATGTCAAAAGGTTATTTCGAACAAACTTCACCCCAATCTGGCAAGTGTTTCTTTGTAGGATATCCAAAACAAACCAACGGATATTAATTTTACAATAAATCCAAGAACAAAGTGTTTGTTGCTCGAGATGGTGTTGATTAGGGGATTTTTATCCACCAATCACCGTCTGACAAGTGGACCAACCAGGTTCCGCCACGTGTCCTTCACGAAGGCCAATAGGAGCCTGCCACGTGTCAATCACAGATACGTCCTCTACGGACCAATCGAGGCACGCCACGTGTCCACCCATGCCAAATGGGAAAACCGGCCAACAAGGCCTAATCCTGTCTAGAGGCCCGGTCAGCCCTAGGTTTACCCTAAACCTAGAGAGTGGCACGCTTCTCAAGACTATAAATACTTAATTAATCCTCATTAATCAAGAAATCAAGAAATCAAGAAAAGATCAAGCAATTGAGAGGCAATTGATCAAGCAATTAATCTCACCTGAAGAACAGAGAAGAACAGAAACATTACGGAACACTAATAACCGGCTAATCTCGCTAACAAAGCAGATTACCAACATTAAACACTCTCACCTAGAGAGGTCTTATTACTTTAATTTCCGTATTAATTACTCCTTAATCAGGTACTAACTTGACCGTTGGAGGCGGAGCTCTCAGGAGTCTCCGTTATTTTGCAGGTACAGGCGTCCGGTTCCAGTCTCGGAATTGTAACTCTCCCGCAGGACATCAGAAAACCCCGAAACATTTGGCGCCGTCTGTGGGGAGAGTACTTCAGAGATGGCATCCAAGTCTGTACCGACTCCTGAAGAGAGGCGTCCCCTAAACGACCCTCAAGTTCAGTCGGACCATGATACCGAAAGTGAATTTGAAGTGGAAACTCATACAGCTCCAGACGGGACCCTAAGGGCCCGACGTACCCGTCATACCGAAAGGAGGGAACGGGAGCATCTTCAAACAGGAAGCGAGCCAGCAGGCGCACCGCCTGCTCGGCAACAGCCGACTGATGGGTCTGCTCCCATCACAAGGAACGAACTCATGACCTTCATGAGGGACTTCAAGGGAGAGATTCAAGAGTTGATCAACAAAAAGCCGCCTGCTTCAGTCAAAGAGCAGTCGGCCAAAAAACCTTCCACTTCA